ATGAATCAAGATGCAAGGACTGAAAAAATTTGATTGATGCATAATTAACTGGCCTGCATAAAATAACGAAAAAAAAACAAAAAGATTTTTTTAAATAGAATTTTTGTCAATTTTGCGACAATATCTTCTGTTAAAGAGTACATTAATATACATGTTTAAGCCAGAATGATTTGACATTTAAACATGACTTCCCTACGACTTTATCCCTACTGGCTCCTAATGCAGCTTTTAAATCAAAATGCACTTCTAAATTTCTTCTTTTATGAAACTTGGCACTATTTATGAAACAAGCAACTGTAATAAAATCTGCTTTCTGCTTTTAAGCCTTCTTCATTTTATCACAGTACAACCACTCTCAGAAGCAACTGTGAAAAATTTACAGCAAAATGCAAATACTTGATAAGCAGTTAGAGTAGTACCAAGTTTTTTTCAAGAAAAGAGGGTGGGTTACATTAACCAAACAATTAAACATGTTTTTATTTTCCCTACAAATAATGTTAAAGAAATCAACCCATTCACTCACGCAGCATATTTTTATAAATGGAAAATAATGTGAAGTAATGGGCAAATAAAAACCTTGGGGCCACTGGTAGGCTTTGGATGGTAAGTTGGTTAAGGGGTTGATGTTTGTGGTTATTACATGACAATAGATGAAGATGTTGAAAGATTGAAAAAATATGTTGTCCACACAACGTGAGTATCCACACTTAACTGTAAAGAAGTATGTTTTTGAATAGAGAAGGTTTTGAGAACCTATTTAAAAAGGTGTTGACATCTTAGCTGATGCCTGCCAGCCTGTATAAAGCACATGGCCCCTTTCCACTGTGTTAAGCTTCACTCACTCACTACCAGTCAAAACAGACAGTTTGCACTCTGGATACATGTCAAGCATCAGTCTAACAGCATTTAGGGAGAACCTTGTGTGTGCAGATGTCATAAACGCACACCTGCAGCCGTCACCGCACAGAGAGGGCTTTAAAAACGATCATAACAGTGAAAAGTCAATCTCACAAAAACTCAATTCAAGTGAGAAAAAGCAAGAAAAAAGTTCCTTTAGTTAAGCCTACATACTGTATAGGCAATTTATGTTTCCAT